GGAAAAAAAAAAATAAAAAAAAGGGCCCACGTCGGCAGCCACGTCGGCAGGCTCGGTCAGCAGTCCCGGCCAACCGGGGCCTGCCACGTGGCAAGACCACGTCGCTCCGAAAGGGGGCCACGTTGGCAATCCGCGTGGGTGCGATCGGACGGTCCAGATCAATCGCGCGATCGGACGGCCCAGATGCAATCGCACGGACGGCCCAGATTCAATCAAAAACGAACGGCCCAGATTAAAACAAAATGAACGTCTGAGATCAAAAGGCAAGGGGTTATAAATAGAACCCCCACACCAGACCACAAACCCTAGCCGCCTGCCGCTCGCCGGAGAAAACAAACCAGAAGCCGGCCGCCGCCACCAGCCGCCGCGCCGGGGAAATTTCCGACCGCCGATCGAGGTAAATTTCATACCCCCGACTCGATTTTCCACGCTGATTCCTCTTGTGGCCAAATCGGAGCCAAAATCCCGGCTAAACGGCCGGAATACGCGGCCGAAGGCCAGCGGCGCCGCCGCGCCCCCTCTCGGTTTTTGCCTCCGATGAGGCCTTTCCCGGCCTCCGTTTGATGCAATTTTTATATCACCGTGATCACCATTCTTTTCTCTACAGGTTGACCGGAGCCGAATCACCAAAACACGAACCTCGCCGGAGAGCCGCCGCACCCGAGAGCGCCGCCGCCGGTAAGCTCCATTTTTCCGTGATTTTTTGGCCCCTCCGAGGGCCCTAGGGTTGTTTTCTCACAGAGACTGATGCGAGTGTGGCCGAATTCGGCCGGAAACGGCCGATAACAGCCAACCCGAGGCGACTCGCCGCCGCTAGCGGCGGCGCCGTCGCCGGAGCACGGCGGAGCCGCCGTGCCGGAATTGCGAATTGGGCCGGAAGGGGCCCTGGGCCTAATTTGGGATTTTTTTGGAACACGTGCAAGTACCAGTAGTGCGTTTCAGTTCCCCGAGAAAAATTCAGGGAAAATTAGGGATAGCCTGCAAGTGCACTGCAAAGCCGTGTTCGGACCCCGAAACGAGTAAGGACCCCTCACCCTATTTCCTATCACGGTATTAAAGTTCAAAATGATAAAACGGTATCTCTTGAATTAACGCATGTGTGAAATTGCTTAAGGTTGCTAATGGAGCCCAAGTCTAGTGTGATTGATGATTTACTGTTATTTGGCCTGTTTTACAGCTTCAAATGCATTATGAGGTTTGATTTGTTCATTTTATAGTTTCGAGTGCATATATTACTGTTTTATTAATTATGGATTGAAAGACTGAAGAACTGATACTGTATGTTGTCTGTTTGGTATGAATTACGATTTGCTTGTTTAAATATGAATTGATGATGCTATTTGAGGAAAAGAAAAATGAAAGATTGTGTAGACTGATAATTGTATGATGGAGTCAGCCTGACGAGATATCCTGGGAGATGGTGGACGGACCGGGTCCGTAGGGAACCCTACCAGGATTGTGGTCTCACATGCCGGACGGGGTATGGAGATCTTATGGTTTTGGCGCCCATACCGGACGGGGTATGGGGACGGCCCGTTTCACCCTCATACCGGACGGGGTATTGAGGTTTATGGTTTTGGCGCCCATACCGGATGGGGTATGGGGACGGCCCTGGAAACTGATTATG